ATCTACCCATTGATCTATCTATCTATCCATTGATCTATCTACCCATTGATCTATCTATCTATCTATTGATCTATCTACCCATTGATCTATCTATCTATCTACACTGTTTCAAATAAATAGCAGTGTTAATGAAAGTGAATAGTGCAAATATTTTAATAGCTTTTATTTCCATATTTCTAATGCATTGTAATCACCACACATTCAATTGTAAATCACAAAGTAGTAAGAGATTTTATCAAGTCTATGTTACTCTTTTACAGAAAGCAAAGAAAAGGGAAATGAATATTTTCAGAAAAAAGCAGAGTCCATATTTTTCTCTTGAAACTCAAACTTATAAACAGAATAAAATGTTTAAACTTAAGTTAAAATGACTGAACTAATATTTAGTTGCATAAGCGTTCTTATTGATAACTACTGCGTATCTGCGTTGCATGGAGTCAACAAACGTCTGGCACCTAGAAACAGGTAGTTATTTCAGCCCAGGGTAAACAAACTATGTTCCTGTGAATTTTTGGGTTTTGCGTCAGAAAGTGCATTTTTAAGAAATATCCAACTGCTTTTATTTCTTGCAAACTGTAACATAAAACAAAGTTCAATAGGTGAAGTGAGACAAACGGAGCAGGTTTCACAGGCAGAACAGAAATGGAATAATAACTCCCTGAACAAAGTGATGTGTTGTCAAAACTCACGTGAGATGAAAAGGTCAAAATGTGAAAAAAGAGGCAGAGAGAAAGAGATTTTCCTATACGTTTTATTTGCTATAAAGACCAAAATAGGTAGATTTCATTATAAAATGTTTCAAATGGGGTAAAAACCTAATAATTAAAAATTTTTTGACAAAAGCTACACAAGATTAAAAGATACCGCTTTAGCCAATTAAAGTTTCTTTCGCTGAACCCAGAGATTTATTTGCACAATAAAAGGAGCTAATATAAGTTAGCCCTTAAGCCCTGGAGATCTTTGAGGAAAAAGAGAGAGAGAGATAAAATTATAATAAAAGAATATATTTATATATATATATATATAATTATTTATATATATTGAGAAAGTGAACTTTGGTAGAAGAAAACTAGAGGACACCTGAGGTAGAAAAGACTGGAATAAAACCGCAATAGACAATCTTCACATAAAAAGTACCACCAAGTGACAAGAAACGGCATCCTTTCATACAGGTCAGTTCAGCCCCCATAAAAAAAAGCCCATGAAATAATAATAACAACAGTGAGCAACAAGCTGGTCGAGATGATCGAACTGAAAAGAAATGACAGAAGATGTGAAAAACTCAAGTAATACTGATTAGATTTTATGAAGCTGACTGAAACAGACACCTTTCCAGTATTTAAAAAGACAAGAGTGCATAACTTTAAAGCTTTTGTAAAGGCATAGAAAAAGAAAAAAAAAAAAAACACCCAAATGCAGGAACAAAATAAGTATTTATGATGAGAAGTGTGGTTTCCCAAAAAAATAAAAAATAAATAAAATAAAAAATTGTCGAGTCGAGTAAAATACATTTAGCTACCAAAATTCATATTTACATCTGAACTCTTCAAGCTTGATCAGCCTGTATTCCACAATTTAGCATTAAATAACTTTACTTTTAAAAATAGTTTTGAAATTGTCACATTTAAAACTCTGAGATTTGCGTGAAGGGAGTCCAAATAAGGTCATCAATATTCTTTTAAAATTTGTCAAAAAGCTTTCAACCTAAACAGCAACAACACTTGAAGAGCTACAGTTCATACACCTGGCACATCTTCAGAACATGCACAATGTTAATTGTTTTTGGGAAAACAATGTTTATGAGCACTAATATCATTAGCTAAATATGATCCCTCCACCGAAATGTTCAACAGCATGAAACGGAGTAAATAACACATGAGGAAATACTCAGGTACAGGTGCTGAATACTCCTTTAGGAAGCTTAATCATTTACAAAACGCCTGTTGCCTGGATTTTCGTGAATGTGAACAGAACAGCACCAAAAACATGGCTGAGCAATTAACAGCTGAATCATGAGTCAAATCACAACATTAAAACTGAAATGTTGGAGATCAGAAATGATGTTCCAGTGAGACTTTCCAACAAGTAAAATCAGAGTTACAGACACACATCACAGTCTAAAATTGGGTGATAGCTTTGAAAAGGTTCCCGATTGCACCCAAACAAGTAAAAGCAGACATCTATACATATGATCTCCATTCAGAAATTAAATGAAAAGCGAACCATACCGGCATCACAAGCATTCACATTCAGCGGTGTGCTAGTTCAACTAGCAAAGATTTGTCTTTCACCAAAACACATTCGTGGTGTAAAACAAATCATGAGGCCCGACACAAAAAGTGTTCAAATGTGAGGAGATTTAACAGATGAACTGACCTCGGCCTCGACGACCCGATTCAAAAGGGAAGCAGAGATCTGAACTTAAAAACAGACATGGCACTTTCATACAGACACTCACATGTGCTAGCGGGTTTTTGCATCAGATATTGAGGCTACAGCATTTAGGGCCCTCTTCAGTGACTGTGGCAAGAGAAAGACAGAAGAGCATGACAGCAGGATGAGCTTCAGTAGTCTGAGGGCCCGCTCTACCAGCTGTGGCGGAAGACGGGATGCTTCAGCAGCTCTCTGGAGGGCGGCCGGTCGGAGGGCTGGAGCTCCAGGCAGCGCAGGGTGACGTCCCGCAGGCCTGGAGACAGGTGGGGCGGGATCGTGGGCGCTGTGGTAGCGCTGGCGATCTGGGAGAGGAGAGTTGGGACAGTAGAGTGGATTAGTTTGCTGCCAGATGGACCAAACAACACATTTAAAGTGAGACAGGAGTTCAAATATACACACACAAATCTATACATGTCAGTGCTGGGAAAAATGCGGTAACACTTTATTTTAAGGTGTCCTTGTTACACGTTAATTATGCATAATTATATGCCAGTAACCCTAAGCTAAACCCTAATGCTACACTCTAAAAAATGCTGGGTTATTTTTTTTAACCCAGATGCTGGGTTCAGCTTGTTGGGTCATTTTATTGGGTTGTTTTTAATATATTTTTACACAGGTGCTGGGTAGTTTTTCTATGTTCTAAAAAATGCTGGGTTATTTTTTAAACCCAAATGTTGGGTTCAGCTTGTTGGGTCATTTTATTAAGTTGTTTTTAATATTTGTTTACCCAGGTGCTGGGTAATTTTTCTACATTCTAAAAATGCTGTTTTTTGTTTTTATCCAAATGCTGGGTTTAGCCCGTTGGGTCATTTTATTGGATTGTTTTTAATATTTGTTTACCCAGGTGCTGGGTAATTTTTCTGTGTTCTAAAAAATGCTGGGTTATTTTTAACCCAAATTCTGGGTTCAGCCCGTTGGGTCATTTTATTTTTATATATATTTTTTAATATATATTTTTACCCAGGTGCTGGGTAGTTTTTCCTGCGTTCTAAAAATGCTGGGTTATTTTTTTTAACCCAAATGCTGGGTTTAGCCCATTGGGTCATTTTATTGAGTTGTTTTTAATATTTGTTTACCCAGGTGCTGGGTAGTTTTTCTGCGTTCTAAAAAATGCTGGGTTATTTTTTTTAACCCAAATTCTGGATTCAGCCCATTGGGTCATTTTATTGGGTTGTTTTTAAAATATTTTTACCCAGGTGCTGGGTAGTTTTTCCTGCGTTCTAAAAATGCTGGGTTATTTTCTTTTAACCCAAATGCTGGGTTCAGCCCGTTGGGTCATTTTATTGAGTTGTTTTTAATATTTGTTTACCCAGGTGCTGGGTAGTTTTTCTGCATTCTAAAAATGCTGTTTTTTTTTTTACCCAAATGCTGGGGTTCAGCTTATTGGGTCATTTTATTAGGTTGTTTTTAATCTTTGTTTACCCAGGTGCTGGGCAATTTTTCTACATTCTAAAAAAATGCTGGGTTATTTTTTTAACCCAAATGCTAGGTTCAGCTTGTTGGGTCATTTTATTGGGTTGTTTTTAATATTTTTTTTTTTCCCCCAGGTGCTGGGTAGTTTTTCTGCGTTCTAAAAAATGCTGGGTTATTTTTTTAACCCAAATGCTGGGTTCAGCCCGCTGGGTCATTTTATTGGGTTGGTTTTAATAGTTTTTTTTTTACCCAGGTGCTGGGTAGTTTTTCTACGTTCTAAAAAAATTCAGTTTTTTTTTTTAACCTAAATGCTGGGTTCAGCCCATTGGGTCATTGTATTGGGTTGTTTTTAATATTTTTACCCAGGTGCTGGGTAGTTTTCTACGTTCTAAAAAATGCTGGGTTATTTTTTCTAACCCAAATGCTGGGTTCAGCTTGTTGGGTCATTTTATTGCGTTGTTTTTAATATATTTTTTTTACCCAGGTGCTGGGTAGTTTTTCTGCGTTCTAAAAAATGCTGGGTTCTTTTTTTAACCCAAATGCTGGGTTCCACCTGTTAGGTCATTTTATTGGGTTATTTTAATGCTGGGTTATTGTTTTCTACCTAACCGCTAGGTTGAACTTGAGCTTGTCTCCGGTGAAACTTATCAACAATGCAGCTGCTGATCGAGCACCCAATGGGATGTATCTCGATCGAGCACAGGCTTTTTAAGTCCACAGGAGAGAGTGCTCAGCTTCGCCGCCGCCGATTTTGTGCACTCTTTCGGGGAAATAAAGGTTTGTATATATTTTATTTCATTTATAAAGTCTTTAATGTGGTGTAAATTATATTATTTTACGCAACGCAACATAAGAACGAGATGTCAGTCATTTACCCAAATGCTGGGGTTCAGCTTATTGGGTCATTTTATTAGGTTGTTTTTAATCTTTGTTTACCCAGGTGCTGGGCAATTTTTCTACATTCTAAAAAAATGCTGGGTTATTTTTTTAACCCAAATGCTAGGTTCAGCTTGTTGGGTCATTTTATTGGGTTGTTTTTAATATTTTTTTTTTACCCAGGTGCTGGGTAGTTTTTCTGCGTTCTAAAAAATGCTGGGTTCAGCTTGTTGGTAATTTTTCTGCGTTCTAAAAAATGCTGGGTTCAGCTTGTTGGGTCATTTTATTGGGTTGTTTTTAATAAAAAAAATAATTTACCCAGGTGCTGGGTAGTTTTTCCTATGTTCTAAAAAATGCTGGGTTATTTTTTTTTTTAACCCAAATGCTGGGTTCAGCTTGTTGGTTCATTTTATTGGGTTGTTTTTAATATTTTTACCCAGGTGCTGGGTCATTTTATTTTAACCCAAATGCTGGGTTCAACTTGTTGGGTCATTTCATTGGGTTGTTTTTAATATTTTTACACAGGTGCAGGGTTAGTTTATTTTAACCCAAATGCTGGGTTCAACTTGTTGGGTCATTTTATTGGGTTGTTTTTAATATTTTTACACAGGTGCAGGGGTAGTTTATTTTAACCCAAATGCTGGTTTCAACTTGTTGGGTCATTTTATTGGGTTGTTTTTAATATTTTTACACAGGTGCTGGGTTAGTTTATTTTAACCCAAATGCTGGGTTCAACTTGTTGGGTAATTTCATTGGGTTGTTTTTAATATTTTTACACAGGTGCAGGGTTAGTTTATTTTAACCCAAATGCTGGGTTCAACTTGTTGGGTCATTTTATTGGGTTGTTTTTAATATTTTTACACAGGTGCAGGGGTAGTTTATTTTAACCCAAATGCTGGTTTCAACTTGTTGGGTCATTTTATTGGGTTGTTTTTAATATTTTTACACAGGTGCTGGGTTAGTTTATTTTAAAATAAACTAACCCAGCACCTGTGTAAAAATATTAAAAACAAC